GTATTGCCTGCATGTAGATTAAGAGCACCTGTGTTGTGCAGTGCCTGCGGACAAAAGAAGAGGCTGTTGGATCCCCTGGGACTGAAGTTTTGGACAGTTGTTAGCTGCCATGTGGGTGCTGGGATTTGAACCTGGGTCTTCTGTAAGAACAACCAGTGTTCTTAACGGCTGAGCCATCTCTCAAGCTCCCTAAATTAAATTTTTTTTTTTTTTTGGTCTTTTTGAGACAGGGTCTCCCTGTAGCCCCAACTGTCCTGGAACTCACTATGTAGACTAGGCTGGCCTTGAACTCACAGAGATCTGCCTCTGCCTCCCAAGTGCTGGGACTACAGGTGTGGGCAACCATGCCCGGCTTCAAGCCCCCTAAATTATTTTTAAAACAGCATTTCTTGGGAGACAATCCCAAGATCTTACAGATTTTTGCTTTTTAGAGAGTGGCTACAAATCAAAACTTCATACATGCAGGAGCACGCACGTTTACACACACTTTAAACTCCATAGTTCCATTTGTTGGCCATATCCATGGGTAAATGTCCAACTGTTTACCCACTGTCAGGTAAACCAAAAGCTGAGAAGAGTAAATTACCTTGCACAATCAATCTTACGAATGAAAAAGTAAGTCTCAAAGAATTCAGACAATTTAAATTACAACACTATGAAAGAGTTTACTTAAAAGCCATTTTTCAGTGGGAGACAGTATATGTATGCTCTTTTAAAAAATAAATTTAGGGGCTAGATGGCTCAGTGGTTAAGAGCAAGTACTGCTCTTGCAGAGGACCAGAGATCCTACCACCCACACGGGACTGCGCTCACAACAATCTCTTCTGGACTCTGACGGCACCCGTACTTATGTGCACAAACCTACACAGATAGCCACGTATACATATATCTAAAAATAAAATAAATCTTAATCTTAAAAAGAGAGGACTGGAGTTATAGCTCAGGGGTAGAGCACATGCCCACCTGAGTGAGGCCCTGGGTTCAACCTCCTGTACAGAAGACAACAAAGGCCAGAGAATGAATGGCATATGAATGGTTTTTAAATTTTTATTTATTTTATGTGTGTAAGTGTATTGCCTGGATGTAAGTGCACCCGTGTTGTGCAATGCTTGTTGAAGACAGAAGAGAGTGCGAGATCCCCTGGAACTGGAGTTATGGACCCTTGTTAGCTGCCATGTGGGTGCTGGGAACTGAAGCCAGGCCCTCTGCAAAGGTAGCCAGTGCTCTGAACTGCTGAGCCATCTCTCCAGCCCCCAGAGTGTTAATTT